TGTACGTACGATGAGTATTCCACCGCATCTCCCCAGAAATTCAGCGAGAGCTTGTTTGCAAAAAATCGTAGAGTGGGCCATGTCTGAAATTGTCTGGTGCATGCGCTCTGCCTTGCCATTTGATGCTTGATTTCTTGCTCCGCTCACCTGCCGTGTCACGCTGGCGGACTTGCAGAACAAATCAACGTTCTGAAATTCACCACCCCCATCTGTGCGTAGCACAAGAATGCGAAAGTTGAAGCGCTTCTCAAAGATCACTAAGAATTTCTTAAACCTTTTCGCCGCTTGGTCCTTGGTTTGTGCCAGAAATACGCGGCAGTAATTGCTCTTGTGATCGACAAAGTTAACGAGGTACCGATTCCCGAGGCGGTCCCTTGGCGTCATCGGTCCCTTAAGGTCTGAGCAAATCACAATGCCGATGCAATCGATCGGGGAGGGCGGACCCGTATCTTTCTTTGACGGCGCGTTCTTGGTTTGCTTACTCTGGGCGCTCGTGACGCACGCTATGCGTCGACACTCCATGATCTGCATTCCAGAGCCGGGCTCGAACGCCATCCTCTCGATTGTGTCGTACGATAGGTGCCCGAAACGCTGATGGGAATGCATGAGTGTTCCACGCTGCACGTTTTCTCTGCGCTCCTTCACCTTAGGAATCAATGCCACGATGGAGCCAGCCTTGCCAACGCCGTCTCGTTCGGCTTGCACTTCTACAACAAGCACATTTTTCTGCATTGCCACATCAAAGACGACGTCGCGATGATGAGCGATCTGATCGTTCGCCGATCGTTTGAGTAAGCGAGCTTGAATCCCTAGAACTCGAGCTTGCCGTACGACAATATATTGGGGCGAGCATTGGTGCGAAGTAAACGTTCGTTAGGCAAACGATGCTCGTCTTGCCGAGCGCCATTACCCGCAGTAGCACGCTACTGACAAGCGTCAGCTGAAGCATCTTGCCATCGGCTACCAAACACTGATCGTCACATTATCGAGCATCCTCGAGTAGCGCTGCGTCGTTCACGAGATGCCGGCTCAAACCTCTGTCCAAGATCCAAATCTTCTCTTGAGTGTTGCTTTCATGTACGCACAAGGTGTAGTTTACAACGTCCTTCGTTTTGACTTTTCTTATCCAGCCACCCTTGGCACCATCATGCCTTTTCTCCTTCTCATCGGGACGAGCAGCCAAAATAAGTCCAACCTTGCCGCATTCAAAGCACGCTCGTGTCTCGACGCGTGGTTTGCTCTCGACGACGTTTGCAACGACGTCTTTCCCAAACGAAGCAGGACCCCTCGTATCAATCTCTGCAGACTGTGTGAAATGCGCAAGCTCTTCCGCTTGAACGAGGAAATCGAGACGCCTGGCATCATACTTT